CACACATATCCATCCTTCAATCCATCCATCCGTCCATAGGGGAAAAAATCCTGTAGTAGATGACCAAACCTAGTTAAAGAATGTTGCAGCCTACATTTAATCTATAAATCAAAGTTTAATAGTAGTAGATTAATAGTTAATGGATTCCATTTTAGGTCTTGACTGTGCTTTCAGTTGTTGGTTTAAAAAAAACTATAATGAAATTATTTACCTCTTCCACTTCTGCCAACGAATCTCAGGTCATTAAACCGCGCCACTTGATTCTTCATTACAGCTGAGGCATTCCTCAGCTCTGCAGAATAATTTTCATCATTTCCAGCCATGACTGTGACCACTGTCCCATCAGGGACTTCTCCTAAAGCCACCACCTATGACAATAAAGACAGAACAATAATTTCTTAATCTCTCTGAGTCGCAAACCAACCACTAAATACTTGGTAGTTAGTGTTACTTGCACCCTTTAATTGTATCAGCAGAAGAGGGGAAGTTTCAGGCTGATTATGGCCATTATTTTCCAAATGATTATGATTCCACTCCTTGAGGTATGAGCACATTTGTACCAGGAAGCAGCCATTCAGCGGCCTCCTGGATATGGGGTTCTGGTTTCTACTTCACAGCATAAATTATTTTCACAAGTTTGTTTCTCATGAAACTTCCATAGTCAAATAGGGCTGTCACAATGGTTAGAATGCAGTATTGCAGGCTAACTCTGCCAACTGCCAGCAGTTTGAGTCTCACCAGCTCAAGGTTGACTTATCCTTCCATCCTTCCAAGATCGGTAAAATGAGGCCCAGATTGTTGATGGCAATATGCTGACTCTGTAAACGGTTTAGAGAGGGCTGTAAAGCACTGTGAAGCAGTATTTAAGTCTAAGTGCTATTGCTATAAACATCACGTCTTCAATTACTATATTATAGCAATAGGCCACAGCATTGGCAATCATGACACTGGAGGTGATGTCATATTGATACAAATTTGCCATATCCCAGTTTTGCAGTCCTCAGAACTCACCGTGATCATGCTTTAAAAAAAAAAAACAAGCAGTGCAAATGTCTGCCTTTTCAGTGTAAAACTTATTAAAACAGTAGTGTAAACTCTGAAATAAATATATCAAACAACCAATGAAAAACTGCTTAACTTCCCCAATACCCCTCCTCCCAGATGTATTATATCATTACACCATCCCCACAAAATGGTTAAGAGCGGATCTTAGCTTTCAAAGACTGCTAAGTCAGCACACCTCCAGAAACCACATGGGATAGATAGATAGATAAAATGGTGACCTCCCATGCTTTAATTCTGAAGAAAAGAAGATGTTTACATGACAATATGCTGATTCTTAGGATCCCTACATCTGTGTATTCCACTATAGTCTTCACATCCAAGTTTCACTCAGGGAATAAGTCTCTGTTTAATTTTGTTTTAAATAACACAAAGCAAAGTAAGATTAAAAGGTTCTAGTTTTCATTATTATTGGGGGGGGGGATTGAAAAATATGAGAACTGTATTAAATGTTTAAGAATCTCAGTTTAAACTGTCAATTTTGTTTCTGCAACATAATTTCTTCTTAGGCTGTTTATTATTATAAGGCTATATTATATTATACAGAACCAAACAGAACAGTACCAAATTATTCTAAATGTAAAAAATAATGCTCAATTATATTTAAAATTAAGTATCTTCAACTATAGAAACACACTTTATGGATTCTGGAATCTGCATTTATCACAATATGTTAAATTTCCTATTCCTATGATTTCACACAGTGATAAGGAAACACTTTCAATTCTATAGTAAATAAAGTACACAATTACAGTGAAAATACTTGTCAAGTATATTTTGGATTTCGTTTCAATATTGCAAATAGCTTTGTGAACCAAGAAACCAATATAACCATAGAAATTACTAAGTATATCTTGGACAGATTTTATTTTCAATTCTGCTTTCTAACTGTACTTTTCTTCATTATATGTATTTCAACCATATCATGAACAACTTAGAATTCATGATTTTAGCGTAAAGCTCCAATGGTTGTAGATAGATTGAAGGTTAAGCATCTAGGAATCAATTCAGTTGATGATAATAGATACATAAATAACTTCCTGCTGAAATCAGAGGGACTTTGAGGTGTTCCACATTATTAGACTTCTATCTTTTTCATCATTTGCCACAAAGAGTTTCCAACCAATGGGAGCAAGGAACCTAAATAACTATAACTTCTGTAAAGGAGGAGTTAAATCACCCCTATATGATACCAAATTGTGTGTCTAGGCACACATTAATCCAGGGAGAACATACAAGGTGAGTTTTCTATTTTATTAGAAGAAATTGTGCAGTAAAAAAAGATTTGATTTTGTGAAGAAGAATGAGAAGGGGACTACATTCTCATATGAAAGAAAAACAATTTTGTTGTTATCTTGCCATGTGAAAGACAAGTACTACACGTGCTACAATTTAAATTTTAAAATTAACCCCTTGTATGCTCTGTTATTTCAATTATTTCAAAAAAGGAAATTTAGTTGCAGAGTAATGAGAAACAATAATGATATACATATTTAGTAACACTACTATTTTTGTACATTCTGTCTGATTCCACTTTATCATTGAATGTCAATATTCCTCAGCTGCAAAATGGGACCAGTATGTTATAATGTAAAGTACATATAGGTTACAGATTTGTATCTATGGTATCTGCTTTTGTCAGTCAAATGTGGGAAAGCCCAGAGTTGAGCCCAGAGATACGTTTTTTGCACTAGTTATTATAATGGAAAGTCAGCCAGTTGAACTTCTAATTGCTCAAACTATCCCCAGAGCTATTTTGTAATTCTGGACAATAACAATACAAATATTATTATGATATATACAACTGAAAAGAATGAACTGTTAATAGCATTCTACATTTAGATCCAGAGAGCCAGTATGGTGTAGTGGTGAAGACATCAGAGTAGAGACCATCATGAGACCATGAGTCCTGCCTTAGGCACAAAGCCATCTTGGTGACCTTAGGCCAGTCAGTCTCTCTCAAGCCTAGGCAGAAGGCAAGAGCTAATCATTTCCAAAATCTTGCCAAGAAAATTTCAGGAATTTTTCCAGGNCCCAAAGCTGGAAAATAGTCCCTCCACCAATCATTCCCCAGGGATTTTAGACCAATAATCTAACTAGCCTTTCCTGTTTTCCTTCCCATTCCTGTTATATGGGAAGAAAAATTAAAAACCAAAATGGAAGCAAAAAGAGGGGACAACTTTTCTCCAGCTTCGCAGAATGAATTTCTCATAATTTAAGATTCTTAGGATATATAAAACAACTACAAAATCAAAAGCATGAACTAGACAGAAGCATGGCACCATTTTGAGAGCATTAATGCTTAAATCACTGGGATTTTAAAAATTGTGGCTCATGACAATATTCTTTTACCACCAGACTTTTCTGCTGTCCTCCGAGTCATTAAACATTATTCCTGAAAGCAAATGATTCTTTTAGGGATTTAATATGAACCTCAGTGCCAAGGCTATAATACTGCTATTCACTCTATGTCATTGACATATTTAACTGACATTTGATAAGATAGAAAGTTTCTTAGCACATATATAACTTTCCATACAGAGCAATGATTAAGGTCTAAGTACTCTAGTCTTAAAGTTTTGCATGCATGTATCCCACAACTTCAAAATAACAAAGTTGGAACAATGTCTCCTTTGTTGCAGTAATATATATTCAAATTTTACTTAACCTATGGATGTCTTTCTTGGTGCCTGTCAATTATTAATTGGAAAGGTCACCTACTGCAAAGCAAAACACCAGCCTTGAGTGCCATCTTTATTTTCATTCTTTGGCAGGGACTTAATGGAAAATAAATATGGAGAATGGCTGTAATGTTTAAGAATCAAAATATTGTTACTCAGAACATTTTGAATAATGCTCCATGTCACAACAAACAAACTAAACCATGTATAAATATGTAGAGAACATTCTGCTCAGGGTCAGTTAGAAGGGATGTTGAAAACTTTAGTATTTTTGAATGCATGTGTGTACAGAGCAATATTTTATTCTAATTTTTTGAATAGTTTTATCTATGTTGTGTTTTAAAACATCTAAGCAAATTCTGTTTCTACGTCATTCTTGAGTAAATAACTTTTCTCTTGGCCACAACAGTTTACTTCTTTGGAAATGGATGTTTTGTGGTTGGCCATGCCATAGCTCCTGGGCTGGGGGAGCTTTCCATTGCAGCTATTGAGCTAGGACAGTCATCCATGTTCTTAGAATTCATGTTGTGCCCACTGGCCAAAACATTAGCCTAGTGTGCTAAAAACACAGTTTGGTCTCTTAGGCAGTTAAGCAATTATAGCCAGCTACCCAAGCCAAAAGTTTAACCAGGCTAATTTAACTCTTATAATTTGCTTCAAGGAATACTTGGAAATTACCCAATGAATTTCTGTTAGTGGGGCTGGAGCCTCTGTTTAAAAGTATATAATTATCTAGAGAAATTAACTGATAACAGTGAAGTACAGGTAGTCCTTGACATATGACCACAATTGAGCCCAACATTTGTGTTGCTAAGCAAGACAGTTGTTAAGTAAGATTTGCCCCATTGTACAACCTTTCTTGCCACAGTTGTTAAGTTAATTACTTCAGTTGTTAAATTGGTAACATGGTTTATAAATGAATCTGGCTTCCCCATTGACTTTGCTTGTCAGAAGTTTGCGAAAGGTAATCATATGACCCTGGGGCACTGCAACTGTAAATACATGTCATTAGCCAAGCATCCAACTTTTGATCATATGACCATGGAGATTCTGCAATAGTCGTGTGAAAAACAGCCACAAGTCACTTTTTTCAGTGCTGCTGTAACTTCAGTCCCTAAATGAATGGTTGTACATCGAAGATTCCCTGTAGATATGTTCCCTGAATTGAAGTATGAATAGTAAATAATATCAGATTGCAGCATAATTAAAACTAATATGAAGAGCCAATGTAAGAAGTAGATAACTGGAATAAAGGGAGGGGTGCATATCTGTGTATTGATAAATAACTATGGGGGAAATGTATTATTCCTTTGAGGACAGGAAATAACACATGACTAGAAATGTCTTATGGAATTTGCCAAGTCCTTTGGCTGCCTTCCTATTTCCTCTCTCCTTCTGCAACTATTAATATGCTTCAAAAGACCAGATCAGGCAACTGAAAGTGGATAAAGTGATTAGAGAAGTTAGTGATGGCACGGGGTAGTAGGTAAACAGCTGAGCAGGCCATTCTAAGTATTTGCACAGCTAGATTAGATAAAAATGCAGAAGAGGATTTCGTGTGAGGTTAGAGAAATGATGAAGTCATGATAAACAAGGAACATATGGGAGACTAGAGACAGCCCAGA